TACGGATCACCAGCCCTTGAGTAACTGGCCTCATGTTCTTTAGTTCTGAGTACCTTTCCAATTCATTGGTAACTTTCAAGATGGTGTCTATAAAAGTGAGATGACCAACAGCTCACTGCGCTATGGTACACTGCCTAGCATTTGCATTCTCTTTAAAACATGTCAAATTTGAAACTTTTTAAGTGAAGAATCCAAGAAGAAATTGCTTTGGTTTTGATAACTGTAGCCCATTGGAAAAGGCAAAAATTCATTAATAACTAGTAAGTCCTCCCCCCAGTACCACATGATTAGCAAATAAAGACACTTTTTGAAACAAAACTGAAGCATCACTGTAAAAAATGTTTTAAAAAATCCTTTATTTTAAAAGATGAAAGCTGGAATCTCTAATCCATTACTAATTGGGTATTTAGGTTATGGACTGTCTGTTAAATACCCGAAGATTAGAAATTGGACTCTTCTAGCAGTTCAAGCTTTTGTCAGAACCCGAATATATTCATCTGTATAAATGTTTCACTGCGCTCATTCCACAGCAATTTCTTCCTTTTAGAAAGAAAGCAAAAAAAAAAAAAAAATTTCTCTTAAACATCAAAAAGAAACTGCATTTATTTAGAAAACTGTCCTCTTATTAGTATGAAAAGAAAACCTAATCTTGAGGGGGGAGGGGAGGGGAGATATACTGGTTTCTATAAGTTACTTTAAAATGAGCTAGTTAAAAATAAGTGGGTGCGGGCCCGGTGCCGTGACCTAGTGGCTAAAGTCCTCGCCTTGCACATGCCAGGATCCCATATGGGTGCCAGTTCTAATCCTGGCAGCTCTACTTCCCATCCAGTTCCCTGCTTGTGGCCTGGGAAAGCAGTCAAGGACAGTCCAATACTTTGGGACCCTGCACCAGCATGGAGACCCAGAAGTAGCTCCTTGCTCCTGGCTTCGGATTGGCGCAGCACCGGCCGTTGCACTCACTTGGGGAGTGAATCATCGGATGGAAGATCTCCCTCCCTGTCTCTCTTCCTCTCTGTATATCTGACTTTCCAATAAAAATCAAATAAATCTTTCTACAAAGTCTGTGGTGAGCTTGTATGGACAGTCCATCACTGTCATTTTTTTCCCCAACACCACATACTCACTTCACACTTCCGGGCCATGCTTTGCTAAATCATGTAACGTTCCACATGTTTCCATGACTATTTTAACTGCTCTGGGGTCCGTGTGTTCCGGTTTGGGAGTACCACGAACTCTATCCACGTAAGGTAGCAAATAATCCACCTGTCCGACTGCTCTGCCGATCGGCCATCCCCACCTCCCTCGGCCACCTTTGGCTTCCCTATTTTCTGGCACAGAACAAGATGGACATTGAAGCAATTTCCCTATGATTGTCTCTAAGTGTTGGAGTGAGCGTCGTAGCTCCTGACAGAGCCAGAGATAATGAAACCCCCGGACAAGCGCACACTGAGACGAGGCCCAAAGCAAGGCCTTTTGCACCCAGCAGTCACACTTGAAGGCAGAGGAAAAACTGAAGGAAATGAAAGACGGTACTCCAGTGAACACAGGAATGATCAGAAGGAGTAACAGACTTATCACTGATAAAGGGAAGTTTCGGTGGCCTGGATAGAAGATGAATCATCGCCAACACTGCCTTCAGCCGAAACCTAATTCAGAACACAGCCCTCTCTCTCTTCAGCGCTCTCAAGGTTGAGAGAGGTGACGAAGCGGCAGAAGAAGTGGCGAAAGCTGGCAAACGTTGTTCCTGAAGTTGAAGGAATGAAGCCACCCCCACGGATAAAAAGCAGAGGATGAAGCGGCCGATGCTGCCAGGGAGACTCCAGCAAATCAAATGGAAACCCAGGTAAGGAAACGAACGAACGCGGCTCAACCAACAACAGATCTGTAATGTGGGTGAGCCAGCCAGCTACTGAAAGAATACGGCATGTTGGGCCCGGCGGCGTGGCCTAGCTGATAAAGTCCTCGCCTTGAATGCGCCCGGGATCCCATATGGACACTGGTTCTAATCCCAGCAGCTCCACTTCCCATCCAGCTCCCTGCTTGTGGCCCAGGAAAGCAGTCGAGGACGGCCCAAAGCCTTGGGACCCTGCACCCATGTGGGATACCTGGAAGAAGTTCCTGGATTCTGGCTCCGGATTGGCATAACATCGGCCTTTGTGGTCAGTTGGGGAGTGAATCAGTGGTCAGAAGATCTTCCTCTCTGTCTCTCCTCCTCTCTGTATATCTGACTTTCCAATAAATAAATAAAATCTTAAAGAAAAAAAAAAGATACTGCATGCAAGATGTTCAAAGCCCGCCAGGAGAAGCCAATGGCTAGTTTCAAAGGTCTAGCTCAAAGGTCAAGCTGACCATCCTGTTAGAGGTGAATGATGCGCGTGGCCTTTCGCTGAACCCAACGCTCATGTGCCATCATGAAAAACCCTAGGATCCTTAAAATCCATGCTGAATCTACTCTACCTAAGCCTCGGAGATGCAGCCATGAAGCCTGGATCACATGTGTTTACGACATGGCTTAGTAAATATGTCACGCCCAATGCCGAGACCCATGGCTCAAGATAACAACGCACCTGGGTCACCCACAAGCCACCACGGAGATGAAGAGCAAGAGCAGTGTTGGTTTCATGGCTGCTAACACGATGAGCATGCCGGTCAAAAAAGTCACCTGGGTTTCAAGTGTTATTCTCGAAAACAGACATTCCGTAAGGCACAGGAACTTGAAAAACTTCTGGAAAGAACTCACCCTTGTCAATGCCATTAAACACAGTGGTGATTCGTGGGGGGAAAAAAGGTCAAAAAGCACTGGACGCAGGACTTGGAAGAGATGGATTCCAACCCTCGTGGATGATTCTGAAGGACTCAGGGTGCCAGGGGAAGAATTAACTGCCACGAAAACTGGAATCAGAAGTGCAGCCTGCAGATGGGACTGAATCACTGCCAGCCACGGATCAAGCTTTACTGCACGTGTGCAGCTTTACTCAGACGAGGCAAGCAAACTGTGTGCAGGCAACTTCCGGTGCACACGGTTCAAGTCACAGAGAACTTACTCTTTAATGTTAATTTTCTTTCACTTCACATATTTGGGTGGTAGTCCAGTGTGGTCATTCGATACACACCTGTTCAGTGCGTGATGATCAAATGCCTTAGCCCGTCCATTTCATTAACACTTAATAACCCTACGCATTTATACAGTACAACGTGATAGTTCTAGAAATGGAAATCCTGCGTACTGATCAAATCAGATGAATTAACCTTTCCCTCTCCTCCTCATTATTTTGTGTGTGACGCCATCAGGCTCTTCTCTCTTACTTTTTTTCCCACAAAATCATAATGGTTTATTGTGAACGGTGGTCACCCTACTGCACTACAGACCACTAGCATTTGTTACCTCTATGGGAACATTCTAGTTACCACCATCCAACCTGCTTCTATGTTCCTAGCCATGATCACCACGGCAGCGTCATGTCAATAGTACTCAGCATCCAAGTAAGAGCGTGCAGCATTTGTGTTCTGCGTCTGGTTTATTGTGCTTAACGTAATGTCCTCCAGTTGCATCCACTTGGCTCCAGAGGACGATCTCTCATGCTTTCTTTGCAGGTGGATACCTTGCTGTGTGCTCATTCAATCTATTCCTTATTCAGGTATCTACTGATGTGCATCCAAGCTGACTCCCGACGCTCGCTACCAAGAATACAACTGCAATAAAGAGATGAACGCAGGTACCTCTTTGATACAATAATTTAATCATTTTGGACGCGTTCCCAGCAGTGGACTTGTCAGATCATGAGGGAGCTCTATTTTGAGTTTCCTGAGCAGTCTCCAGACCGCTAAGAATGGATTTAGATTATTACATTAAAAATGGCAACAGGGTTTGAGAAGATTGACGCCAATTTTGAAAGCAGTTCTGCTGTGGGTAGCGCACTAGCAGACAGCATCACGTGCCTCATGTGGGGAGAAGCCAATCAACACAGCCAACACCACTGCTCCCTTATTCTCAGAAATCGCCACAACCACCCTGCACTTCAAACGCCACCCAAGAGGACAGACCCACCAGCAGGCAGCTTCTCACTCACTGAATTTTTCTTTTAGCAATAAAGTATTATTTAATTAAGGCCTTCTCCTAGATATGCTATCATTGTCCACTTAGTAGATTATAATACAGTATGAATGTAACTTTTTTTGTGAACTAAGAAACCAAAACCTCCATATCCCTCGCTTACTGAAATATTCACTTTAACGCAGTGGCCTGGAGCCAAACCTACAATATCTCCAGACAGCACACAGTATTTAGACCTGACTGTACATATGCGAGCCTTCACTCTATTCTGTTCCTCCACTTTTTTTTTACATGCCCAGAAAGCGATCAATGAAATAAACATAAAACTAACTGAAAATAGACGAACTCATTAAGACCCTTTCGTTCACTCACTCCTACAGAAAACAAGGTAAGATGAATAAACAGGGAACAAATGTAGGAGACAATTTATAATAGATGCTTTTCCACAGTACAAAGCTGAGAAGTTTTTCCTTTCCTTTGTGCTCTAGTCTAAATTTCAAATTGCAAAAACATCACGAAGTCTGACTTCATTACTTGCTAAAAGAAAATCAGGTACCATATTTTAAGATAGGACATGAAAATACTGACATATTTTAACATGTATAAACCTCTCTGATACCCTCTCCACTCTCAGCTTCTTCTGGCCAATATTACTACGAATGAACAATCTCCAATGTCGGTTGCTACATTGACAATACTTGTCATAAGGCAAACAGTAGCTCTGAAGGATCAGGCTTCATTATGTTTTCTATGGAAGCAAATGGCTCACAAATTTAGGAAGGAGCTCAACACACATCCCAGGGTCAGCAATTTTTTTAAAAAATGTAAATTTTTTTTCTGTTCCCCTTACAACAGGTAGAGTTATATTTCAACATTTCAAAATTAGTTGAACACATGATCTGAGAATAGCACCAACTTCACCTTAGAAAATACAGCTTATTGTTACCTCCTAGGCAGCCAATGAATGAAAGCAGGATCAACTGTTTCCATGACAACACCATCTTTAATTGCCAACAGCAAGAGTAACTCGTGTCCAGTCTCTGATGAATAGAAAGCTTTGTCTTCAGGTAAATCCTTTAATCTGTAAAATATATGTACAAAGAAGTTAGACTTTAAAACTGGCAGCTGCTTTCAGCGAAGAGATTGGCTTTCTTCTGGAAATTCTATCACTCACGGACACTCAGAATTTTCCCATTAAACAGGCTGAAGATAAAAACAGTTTGTACACAACTGCAACAAATAAAATATTAACCTGAAATCCAAACTTCGCCCATTTTCTCCAGGGATGACATTGTGGTAAAACTAAGAGTCAAAAAAAGAAAAAAGCAGAGATTTTGAAATACTGCTTTTCATCGTTTCTAAATCTCTAAGAGGGCATACGAATTATAAACACCATCATCAATGTCCTCCTGAAGTCTACGTAACCTTTGACAATTGTCAAGTTCTGAGTAACACACACTGCACCAAGACAGGTGGGAAATGCGAAGGGTGGAAACTGCTCATTCTGAAACTCTTACAAAACATAACCATGTTCTTCTTTGCTCTCAAACTTCAATGTGCTGATTGAAACGAAATTTGTGAAAGCACTGAGTTGCTTGCAGGCGTTCCCTGGAAACCAACCAAGCTGCAGGTCAGTGACCAAGCAGGCGAAACTCAACTGGTTGCAGGCAGGGGAACTGAGGTTCTTCAAGTGTGCTACCGCAGCAAGGGGAGTGGAACAGCTCTAACTCAGCAGCCGTTCTGGCCAAGCCAAGAGAATGCTCAAGTTCTCTCAGATGCTGCCTCTGCACAGTGTTTTCCGACATGTGGTATATTCAATCAGATATGAAGTGTGGACCAAACAATAATTACTTCAAGAGTGAAAATATGACAACATGCCACCCACACACTTGAAATAATGCTTGAAAGCAATCGTTCCTATAATAATGTCCTTAGGTGGTTGCAAGCTAACCTAAGTTCTTGGGTTGAGAGGAAGAGGTGGAGTGGCAGCCAGAAGGAACTAGCCACAGCTATCACTAAGTCTATGAGAACCCAGAGCAAGCTGAAATACAACTGAAATACAACAGAATTGCAGGTTAGCACCATCCTGGGATCCGAATTTCCTCTCAAGACCCCGGTTCCTGTAGCCTGCCTCTGTCTTAGATGCCCATAGCACACACTGCAAAAGGAGCTTAGTCAAAGACAGAGGAGTGAGCTGGGGGAATGAAGGCAGGCAGTGAAGAGCAGGATCTGCAGCCAGCTATCACCGTGGGTGACTGAGCAAGCCCCCAAAAAGTCCAGCTCCACGTGAAAGTCACGCCCCAGCATCATGCACGAGTTCCCCTTCCCAAGAGACAAGAGAGCTGGTCCATCTTCATCACGGTTTGAGACTTGCTCCCCAGGAGGATTCATTCCTTCCAAGGATGCTAACTCCCTCCCAGACACAGCAGAGGGCTCCAGATGCCTAAACCTGAATCACCTGCGCCGGGCATTGAAAGCGGGGAGGGGCCACAGCAGTGAAGGCAAGAGGGTGTTGAGTGAAGCCCCATGACATACGGGACGCAGAGGTATGTGTGAAGTTGTGTCAGTAGCTTCAGAGATGGCCAAATGTACTGAATCATCCAGGCACACACAGCAGGGGGGGACCCTCCACCTCCGTCAGTGACGACACAGCCACAGTGACGACACAGGTTCCGGTGCCTGATTTTCCCCACTTGGAGCAATGGCTCGCAGACACCTCCCCACCCTCCTGTATGTCTGGTTCCATCAGTGGCACATCGTATGTCCATAATCATTTCCCACTGCTAATTGAAATGATTACTGAAATCACCGTTGATGAGATTTAAATTCTAACTGAGATGCAGGTAAGAAAACTGCAGGTCAGAAGTCACAAGAAAAGTGACACAAACACACACACACACACACACACACACACACCACACTCACACACACTCAAAAATAAACCCAGGTAGAGGTGCAGAGGCATCGTAGAAGGCCAAGAATTATTTTAGATATTCTAATAAAACTCAACGCCAAGCAACCCTAAGAACCATGGGAAACATAAGATGCATTAATACCACACAGGGGATACTATGACAACGTCTGCTAGTGTCCAGAAATGAAGGCTCAGGTGCCATGAAGGCTTAAGAAGTATGTGAAATGAACTGCCAAGGTCCTCTCTTGGCAAACCCAGAGCTCTTCCAAACTACCCTTAAAGAACTTAGTAATACCAAAGCAACAGATTTAAGAAGAATTTATAGTTGGGGGTCTCAGAAAAGGAAGTCCAGGAATCCAACAGTATCACCATCAGTGGTATTGTCATCACGACCATCCAAAAGCTACCAAATAAATGTGAAGCTTTGTTCTATGGCAGAGGGAACAAAACTATATTGTCCGTGTTCTAACGCAGTAATGGGGACAATGTTATCAACTTCTAGAAACAGATCTGACAGCAGCACCAAAGCGCACTCTAATTTTCCAGACACTCTTGTTTATGGTAGGACTTAAGCAGAGACCTACTGTCCTTTAAGAACAATGAAAAAAGTCAACTTGGAAGACAAAGCTGTTGCACTGGATAGCCAATGAGCGAAGAGCATCTATCCTGCAACCAAATGGTAAGTCACGGCACAGGATCTGGTCACCACTGGAATCACTGCAGGAAAAGGTAAGAACGTATGGTGAAGGTGACAGCTTGAAAAACGGTATTTTCTCAACGCTGCATTGCCAAAGTAACATGCATAGCAAGCACATTTCAAAAGTACAAATGTGGGTCCAGCTTGGTGGAACGGGGAGTTGAGCCACCATCCCACACGGAAGTAGCTGGGATCAAATCCTGCTTCCACTTCCCACTCAGATACCTATTAATGCACCTGGGAGGTGGCAGATGCAGGCTCAAATATTTAAGTCCCTGCCCACCCCGCCCCCAGTGGGAGAAGAGGATGGAATTCCTGCCTCCTGGAATGAACCAGGCCCAGACCCCGCTGCTACATGCATCTGTGGAGTAAATCAGCACATGCAACATTTCTCTCTCTCTCTCTCTCTCTCTCTCTCTCTCTCATACTCCTTCCCTCTCTCTCACTTTATCATTCAAATAAACAGTCTAAAGGAAGTTCTAAAGTTTTCAAAACCTCCTGCACTCTTCAGACATATGTGTTGTGCCCCTCTGAGATACTGAAGTTACCATTAGAGAGGGAGACAGAGGTGCTGGTAGGGTTGTCAGATGGATGACTGTGTCCTCAGATAATGACACCCTACTCCAAGGATTATAATTGCCTGCAAACTGCCCACTGTGAAAGGCCCATAGCAAGCACAGGTTTCTACCAAAGCCTACCTCAGAATAATCCTTGGGTCCGGCGCAATAGCCTAGCAGCTAAAGTCCTAGCCTTGAAAGCGCTGGGATCCCATATGAGCGCCAGTTCTACTCCCGGCAGCTCCACTTCCCATCCAGCTCCCTGCTTATGGCCTGGAAAAGAAGTTGAGGATGGCCCAAAGCTTTGGGACCCTGCACACACATGGGAGACCCGGAAGAAGCTCCTGGCTCCTGGCTGCTTCGGATCAGCTCCACTCCAGCCATTGTGGTCAGTTGGGGAGTGAACCATCGGATGGAAGATCTTCCTCTCTGTCTCTTCTCTTCTCCATATATCTGCCTTTCCAATAAAAGTAAATAAATCTTTTTTTTTTTTTTTTAAGAATAATCGTCATGAGAAATGTCAGGAAAAGTTCCTCTAAGAAACTGGGACATTAGGGAAGAGACAAAGACACAAGCAGGTGACAGAGAACATTCCAAAGTGAAGGCAGAACTCTCCCAGGAAGAGAAGGGACTTGGAACAAACTCAGGGGATGGGCAGTAACAGGTGAATTGTCATGGCCTTGACCCTCCTGCAGCAGCCACCATCTGACCTGCCAGCCTGCCTCAGGACCCCACTACACCCCCCCGAAACCGCCACGGAGACAGCTTGAGTCTGCTTGGCAAGGCACTCCAGAAGCGTGCTCTAACCCATACCACAATTCTGTCTGGAGATGGGCAGAGACAGACAGAGCTGCCATGCGCCAACTGCCTGCACCGGACAGGGATGGAACAGCCCCAAGGTTGGAGAAGGGAACTCAACTCGGGTGTCCCATGTAGGTAGCAGGGACCGTTGACCTGAGCCGTCACCACTGTCTTCCAGGAAGAACATCAGCAGAAAGCTGAGCTGGGATGCAATTATCCTAACGTGTATCTTAACCACCAGCCTAATACCCACCCCTGGCCTCTAGTCCCTTGCAGATGACTGGGGTCCCTGTCTTCCTGTTGACTGAATACCTTGATAGCCACCGTAGAGCATAGGGAATCAAATACGCCAAGTTCCTGTTGATTAAACACTCCCAGCTTTGCGCAAGAACGGCAAGATGCTCGAGACGACATGCAAACGCCCCAGTCCAGCTGACTGCGGACCACGTGCTTGGCTTAGGAATATTAGTCAAAGCTCTGAGAAAGGTCACGAACACATGAACCAGGAAACTGACTTCATCACATTTGCAATCAGTATTCATGTTAGACACACTACAATCTCTGATTAAAAGATTGTAAAAGAAAACACTTTATAACATTCTGAGTTTGCTTTGAGGCACAAATTCACAGGTGTAAGCATTTAGACCGGGCTAGTACCCTGGCATTGTAGGTTAAGCCTCCACCTGTGGTGCCAGCATCCCATATAAGCACTGGTTTGGGTTTCTCTCCCAGCTGCTATGGCCTGGGAAAGCAGCAGATGACTGCTTAAGTCCTTGGGCCCTTTCATCCCACATGGGAGAGACCTGGAAGAGGCTCCTGGCTCCAGGTTTTGGATCTGCTCAGCTCCAGCCACTGCAACCATTCGGAGAGTGAACCAGTGGATGGATGGAAGACATCTCTGTCTCTCCTCTCTTCATCTCTACCTTTCAAGTAAAAATAAAATATATCTTTGTACGAAAAAAGAATTCAGACAGTATGCAGTAAGCTATCTGCTTTAAGAGATTCATACTCGGGCCCAGTGGTGTGGACTAGCAGATAAAGTCCTCGCCTTGAA